GCCCCTGCTTCCACTCCCAGGTCCTCGATCCACACTGCAGAAGTCTCACAGAGCACTGCTTAGAATCAACTGTTTGTGTTTAAATCCTGCTCCTGATTTCCACACACGAGAATCAGCTCATCCAATACAGGCTTGGGACACACCTGTCATGGCAAAGTCCTGGGCCGGGCACTGGGGATGCAGAGCTAAGTAGGACACTGGATTGACCTCTGGCAAGAACAACAGTAAGCACAAAAGATGCTTAGGTTGGATTTTGAAAAGTGAGCATAATCTGGGAGGTAAAAGGAAGAACATTTGAGACAGAAAATAGGATATGCAAAGATAACACAACTCAATGCATTCTGTGTTCTGAAATCAGGATCTGAGTTGAAAACTGTAACCTTAGAATTTATCTGGCTGAGGGATGGCAAACAGGCATCACCAGGAATGCCAGTGGCACACAGTTAATGTCAGCTGCTAGAGCACAGCTCTGAAGACTCTTGGGGCACACCCAGCTGGTGCATGCTTGCTGAGATTAATTCATGAGGTCTGCCAGGGCCCAGGATGAGACCCAGTCTGGAGCAGATGCAAAAAGCCAAGCTCTACATCCCACCTACACAAGCACTAACCTTGTGGATCAACTCTTTCTCCATGCTTCTTTGTTTCCCTTATTACAAAAGAGGGTATGACTCTGCCAGCAGTGGTATGGGAATAAACACCTGCAAAGAGCCCCACAATGTTCTTATGTTCTCTCTATCTCTCTCTCTGTCTCTCTGTCTCTGTGTCTCTCTGTCTCTGTCTCTCTCTCTCTCTCTCACACACATACACACACACACACACACACACACACACACACCGTGGGCTGACGTGCAAGAAGACATTTTCAGGGAAGGCAGATATCAGCAAGCAGCTTAGTACTTGTCCCATTTGTTTCTAAGAGAAATATCTCAGCATAGTGGAGAAGAACAAGTGTAGACTCACACAGACTTGGATTCTAGCCCACCTTGCCACTCCTCGGCCTGTATCCCTGGGCAAGAATGTGGATTATCCCATCTGGACTGTGTAAGAACCTGCATGAAGTAATCATGGTGTCTGCCCTGTTTTGCAGACCAGGAAACAGTCTGCCAGCTGAAACCTACCTTGGTTTCTGCAGCTGCACTGTAGGGAAAGTAATGGCATCTGCCATCTGAGGATGAGGGACAGGGGTCACACAAGTGCCTAGCACAACAGCTGGCATGTGATGATGTGCAGTGATTTTTTTTTAAAGAAACACATTAACTGAATCTTGATTTGTAAATGCATGTATTAAGTGGGTTTTCATTTGTTAATGTCTCAAAGGGCAAATTCATCAGTTTAAAGCAGGAATTTTGAATAGAAAATACTTCTTTTGAAAGGTTACCTAAGGTTATCTAAACAAGGAAGCAAGATATAGTAACATCTTTGAATTCAGAGTAAGTTGAATGTTATCTGGATTACAGAATGCTTAGAATGCCATTTTATTTGGGGTTCAAATAAATGCCTATTGTTTCAATAAGTCATCTGCTGTGATCTCACTAAGCAGATGCAAACAGGAGAGGTGTAGTTATAAAACAATGTATCCTCTCAGGTGGGCCCACAGCCTCCCAAGCCTGGGTTTTAAACCCATCCTCCTGGAAGGACAGGACGAGGGTGCTCCAAGGCAGCTGGACTCCCAGAAGTTCAAGATGGCCACAAGTTCCAAGACAGTCACATCCACATTAATCAGTCTCTTTGGATCAAAGTCCTTGCAGCACAATGACTCAGTCTCAGGAAACGGTTAATAACCTTCTTCCTTCAACTCAATTGTTCTAACCTCTCTGAAGGCTGGCTCTTTGTGGGGCCCGGGAAGACCGTACAAGCCTCCTGACAATGAGAAGCCAAGACAGGCTTGGAATGAATCCCACGGGAAGAAGACTAAAGGTTGTCATAAAAAATAGATGTGACACAATAAATGCAGGATGTTCCCTAGGGTCTTAATCTCTTCCTTCAGAAAATCTGAACAATTCCACCTGCTGTGAGGTGGAGGGCTCTATGTGCAAGTATGTAAACACATGCCATGGGTATTCATTTCTATCCTAATGACACAATTCTTCCAAAACAAGAGACCCTTAACTCATTGCCATTCTTTTTTTTTCTTTTTTGTCTTTTTGACACAGGGTCTCCCTATGCAGTTCAAGCTGGCCATGAACTCACTTTCTGGCCCAGGATGGTCTCGAACTCACAACCATTCTCCTGCCTCAGCCTCCTGAGTGCTGGGATTATAGGCATGTGCCACCACACCCGGCTGTCACTGCCATTCTTGCCACAATCCTACAGCAAGGGTTCTCTGCTGACCCTGAGGCAAGTAGGAGTCTTTTGAGACCCTGATGTATGCTGGTGTGGCCAAGGCCTCACTAAAGCTGGGGGATGAGAGAAGCTAGGAGATTTACCTGTGTCATCCATTTCTAGTGTTGCTGGTTCAATCATACTTAACTTCTGCCCTGCCTGGGCTGGCCTTCCCTGCTGGACAATGTCCAATCATTCCTCAAAAGTTAGGTGGGACTTCTGTTTCCAGTTACAATGAAATAGTTCTGCTTTCCCTTGAATGGGGGACTTAGGTTGGGATTAAAAATTATCTGTTTAATGTTGGTGCGGCTGCGGGGGAAAAAGGCACACTGCTCCATTGTTGGTGGGAGTGTAGACTGCTGCAACCACTATGGAAATCAATATGGAGAAATTCTCAGAAGAGTAGGATTGGAAGTTCCATCCAACCCAGCTACTCCCCTCCTGGGTATTTTCCCAGAAAAACTGAAAAGGTCATATCACAGTGATATATGTGCACCCATGTTCATAGAAGCACAATTTGTAATAGCTAAATCTTGGACACAACCAAGATGCCCATCAACCACAGAGTGGATGAAAAAGATGTGGTATTTTTCTACAATGGAATATTACCCAGCTATTAAAAAGGATGATCTTGAGGCCTTCATAGGCAAATGGAGACAACTTGAGGCTATCTTCATTAGTGAAATAAATAAGAATCCTATTTATACATATCACATTGTGTCTCTAGTGTAAAAAATAATAAGAAATGTAGGAGTAATAAAACCCAAAATGTATAATTGCTATTGTAAAAAAGAAAGGAAAAGAAAGTGCTCTAAAGGAACCATATTACTAAGTTTTTGTTGGGATAGTTGAACAGAACTGCCTGCAGTCTGTTTGAATGTCCACTTTGTATGCTTCACTTTTGTAACTTGAACAACTATTTCTAAGAAGACAATACATAATTATCAACTAGTGATTTTTTACTTTTTTTTTTGAAATTATGTATTATTTCTACCCTTTTTCTTTAAATCAATAAAAAAATGTATCTGTTTGCAGGCATCTAAGGACCAAGAGAACATGGACTCAAAGGCTAGGATGAAGGGAGAGTGACCACGGAGAGGAGACAAGGGTTTACTCTTGGAGCCACTTTTCCTCCATTTCTGCCAGGTCTTTGGGAGGAAGAGGCCGAGCGTCATATAAACAGCCTCACATCTGGGCTAGAAGCCAACCAGCTCATCTGACAAGACTGAAGAGAAATGGCATTCCTGTGGAGCTGGAGGATGCTGGAATAGCTGGGAGTTAGAGGGGTCAGGATTCTGGAGAGGAGTGGGACAACATGCAGTGGTTTTCTTCTTTGAAAACACCTGTCAGATTCCTGAACTACTATGGCAGAGGCTAAAAACTGGCTAAGAAGCTACCACAAGGCCAAGTGGAAGTTCCAAAAACCTTAGAGGCAAAAACAGTGATGCGGGGATCACCAAGAAAGAAGAGCCCCAGAAGTCGAACCTGCAAAGCAGGGGTGACTCGAAGCAGATTGAACATCGTAAGAGCTTTGAGCATAAACTTTTCAGCAGCTGAGTCCCAATGGGATAGACAATCTGCTCTCATACCAGTGGTCACCAAGGAGCAGGCTGGGGGCTGGAGGTTTAGCTCAGCGGCATAAGCGCCTGCCTTGCAAGCAGGCAGTCATGAGTTCGATCCCTGGTACTGATAAAAAGGAAAAAGACAAAAAACAAAACAAAAACAAAAACAAAAACAAAAAACCAAGGAGCAGGCTGGAACCTCTTGGGAAAGATAATACCACAAGAGACTCTGGAATTTCTTTGTACAATGTCTGATGTTCAATCAAGAATTACCAGGCACACTAAGAAATAAGTACAGAGGTGGGGCACAGAAACAGATCCTCAAGTGATTTTAAAACAACTGTAATTAATATGTTCAAGAAAATAGATAGCAAAAAGCAGAATTTCACCAGAGACTGAAAATCTTAAAAAAAAAAAAATACAGGGAATGGAAAGTCTATAATTGAAAGAAATGCAGAAGTGACATTTAGATCTCAATAAATAGGTTTAAGGCAAATGACACAATAAAGAGAGGATCAGTAAACTGGGGAAAGTTCAATACAAAAAATTCAGGCTTCAGCATTGAGATTTTAAAAAGTGATGAAAACAGAAAAAAAGGCAAGAGACAAATGAAACAGTAAAACATGTACCTGAGACCCCCAAGAGAAGAAAGATAAAGCAAGGAAAGCATTATTTGGAAAGATAATGGCTGAGAAATTTCTAAAACTGACCTAAAAAAGGCATCAATCTCAAAGACATGAACCCCAAAAAGGAAAAAGGGAAGAAAATCTATATCCACGCTCACCTTAATAAAACTGCTATAAAACCAAAGACAGAAAGAAGCTTAAAAGCAGACAGAGGAAAAAAAGAGTCACCTCAAAGGAGGAGCAGCAACACCAACAGCTGATGTCTCAAGAGAAAAACGTGCCACATAAAGATGCAAAGGTGTCTCTAAAGAGCTGAAGAACTGATTGCTGCGCCCCTCAAAATGAACACAATTAAAAGTGGAATTTTAATCAGCAAAGTTACACTAAAAGAATTTCATTAGTTGGGAGCAAAGTGATGTCAGAAGGAAGCAATCAATGTGCATATTAGTAAAGACACAGAATGTGAGCAAGCCTGACCAACTTAGCTTACCTGATGGAGTAAGATGCCAAAGCATACATTCTCCTCTGGTGTACAGAAAAAGCTACCAAAACAGATCCTGCATGGTGGAGAAACAAGTACCCAAAATTTTAAAAGCATCTATATTATTTTCTCTAATTGCAGAAAATTAAATTAGAAATGAATCATTAAAAAGGTAGTTACAAAATTCCCAAATGTTTGCGAATTAATCAATACACTTCTTTGAAAGAAATCAGAATGAAAATAAAGAGTTTTTGAGCTAAATTACAATAAAACGTATCAAAACTCAAGTCAGTGGCTAAAGCTGTGCTTACAGATACAGAAATTCATAGGCTTAGGGGGCATAGATTAGAAAGAAAGGCGGCAGGGGTGCAGAGTGCACTGCATGAAGAAGCACCTTCAGGTGATGCTGCTGTATTGGCAGTGGAGTACAGCCAGCCACAGCCAGCAACCACACACTTTTCATCAGTCCAGAGACTGGACCAAGATACAGGAGGCTACTGTTATCTGGTTAAAAAAAATTTTTTTTTACCAAGTACAATAAATACATTCTTTAAAAACCATAAAAGTATACTACATAAGGTACCCAAGCCAGTGAGATAGTTACTTATCATCATCACATATTACGCGCTGTACACAATTATAGGTGTTCTATTTCCATATAACCGAGAGTACAACATTGCCACAAACACAAGGGTGATGCTATGGTTGTGCTGAGGCATTATTGTGGCTTGATAGTGCAGGCAACAGGAATTCAGTAGCTTCACTGTAATCTCCTGGGATCACACTGTGTACGTTGTGGTCCGTTGTTCCCTAAAGCTGTATGCAGTGAATGACTGTGTTTCACTGCTCTTCAGGTAAAAATTAAAACTCCTGCAATGGTCTGGCTGCTGCTTGGAGTTTCACTTTTGTCTCTCTTCTCTTTCGTTACTCTTAGCCATACTGGCCTTCTTTTAGTTCTCTGAATGAACTACTTTTTGCCTCATTGCCTTTGCACATGCTGAAACTGGTCCACACTGTCTTCCCTTTCCTTGTCTTCTGGCCAGCTTCTCATCTTCCAGGACTCAGTGTAGACATTATTTCCTCAGAGAAGCTTTCTTCGAAGTCCCCATCTAAATCAGGAACCTCTAACACATATCTTAACTCACATTCTTTCTTTCATGGTGCTCATTGCTATAATCAATAGCTGTTTGGGAAACTGCTTGTTGTGCAAATTAATTTGAAAATGCTATTTATTGTTCCCTTAATGCTCTAAGTTCCTTGCTGGCAGAGACTACAGCAGTCTTGCTTATCTCTGTATCCCTGGGGCCTAGCATGGTGCCTTGGCAAGTACACATTCTATATATGTGTATTAAGTGAATGAATGAAAACACGGACATCTAGTTTACCATCTAAGTAACCATTCAGTTTACCCAAAGCTGTTAAAAAAATGCTCCACTGTCTTGGAAGAAAACTCCCAATATTACTGCTGCCAGCAGTTGGCATTTATTTCTATGACATTTACAATGCAATTTACAATCATTTGCTAATCCAAGAAATCTCCCAAAGATTTTTTTTGCCCTTGATATTTAAGGAAAATAGTTTCTAACTTTACACTGTATCCTGTTTACTACATTTGGGAAAAGACAAAGTATTTTGGAAATTAAATTTATCAAATCTGTTCTATACCAAGCAGGTGCTGTAAAAGTGATTCAAATGACTGCCATCATTAATAACAGCACTAAGGCCATTTGGGGTGTTGTAGCACAGTGCTACAGACAAGGCACTTAGAAACAACAGTCATTTATTTCTTGTGGTATTGGAGACTGGGATGCCCAGATCTAGGTGCGACAGACCCAGTGAACCATGAGATCTTGCTTCCTGGTTCACAGATGGTGCCTTCTCACTGGTCCTCATGTCTGATACTGGTTTTATAAAGACACTAATCCTATGGTTCCCACCCCACGGGGCCTAACCTGCTCCGCAGTGATCAGGTTTCTAGGATACATAGGTTTAATCTTTTGCAGTTACACTAACACCAACAGCAACTGTTGACACACGGGTCTGCTTCCCCGGTGGGTCTCGGTTACCCATCACTCAAAGCATCAAGTGGCTGTCCTAGACCAGTAAGTGGCAGGGCTGCAGGCTGAGCTTGAATAGGCCAACTCTGCAGCCCAGGCAGGCTTGCAGGGCTCCAATCACTGCCCACCTGGCACACAGAGTGGCTCTCCCAGGACACAGCAAAGCAAACATCAGGGAAGCTTGTGCCTCTGAGTAAAGTTGGAACTCCAGGCCCACCACTTCACCAGCTATGTTGTCCACTTTCAGTCGTGGTGCCAAAATATGTGAGAAAATCAATGTGCAAGGAAGAAAGGTCCCTTTTTTTCACAGGCTTTTGGTCTGCAGTCACCTGGGCCTGAGGCTGTAGGCCTGTGGCAGTGCAGCCCATCATGGTGGGAGCAGGTAGCAGAGGAAGTCTGACCATTTAATGGCAGCAGGTAAACAGAGAACAAGACAGCAGGGAAGGGCCCAGTGCCCTTTCCAAGGGCACGCTGCTGGTGACCTCCTCTTAACAGTCTCCCTCTGTGCCAGCAGTGCCATGGGCTGAGAGTGGCCTTTGGCACACGGGCTCTGGATGACATTCCCGATTCAGCTCCATGCTAACTCACAGGGAAGGCGTTCATCCTAACCTCAGCTCTGCATCTGTCATGTGGAGTTTGAAGCAGCAAATGACAGGAGAGAACTGAAGGGCCTGGCAGAGTACCTACCCCTCAGTGATGTGCTCGGGAAAGGCAGCAATTATTGTCAAGGAATGCTGTAAACAAACAAAACCCTTATATTGCACTTAGACTAGAGATGCACTCCCATCTGTCTCTTCCTTGCTTTCAGAGAGTCAAAGGGTGGAAAAGTCTGTGACAATGAAGTCAGATTCACAAAGGTGGGTGTCACAGGGCAATGGTCATTGACTGCAAACTGTCCGGTTTCCAGGCCCCCACCCCACCCCACCAGAGCCTCTTCCCCGTCTGAAGGCAGGCTCCTCTACTCCAGGTGGACAGGCAGAGGGGCCCCAGGCTGATCTCTCATTGCCAGGGATCATGTTACTGCAGTGCCTGTCACTTAGTGCCTCTCTGATGTGGCTACTCCTCCTTCTCCTCCTCTCCAAGTTGACATTCTGAGTATTCCTCAGCACTGGATAAACCTGCTGCACAGGGAAGAAGCCCTCAGAAACAGGTCCCTGAGCTTCCCCCAGCCAGGTGCCTGGGCAGGCAGGTAGCACAAACCTGCAGCACAGCAGGGAGTCCGCTGTCCCAGTGGGGTCCCAGTGCCCCAGGGCTGCAGCTTCTACTCAACCTTTCCTTGCTTTCAATGGCAGGCTGGTTCCTATTTCTGCTCTAGGACTTGAAAGTTCAAGACAATTGTTTGTTTGTTTTCTAACATTCTTTAATTGGTTCTACCACAGCCTAGTATTCCGCAGTTTTCCGCAGTTGTAACTATTTCACACTCAGGAATAAAACCCCCACAATGCTTCCTGGGCTGTTCTGTGCCCTTGGATCTGCTATGACTATCCCACTGTTCTCCTAGTTCTTTTATGGTTCTCTGTAGCATTTTTTCCCAAACTCCCCTCAGATGTTTTCTTACCATGGTGCCAGATCCAACCACTCTGGTGATAGATTTCCCTGGTGAGTTGCCCTGTCTCATTTCTGGAGGTGGGGGAAATTGGGGTTGACTGTGGTTTCTTGGGTTCACAGAGACCTTCTTCACACAGAGGACTCCCAAGGTTCACCTCCCTCCTCCTCTCAGAGGTCTCTTCTGACCTCCCAGGGCCTTGCATCTCAGACCATGCAGAGCTGCATTTGTAAAGGACACACAGTACCTACCTCTCTACTCCCAATATCCTGACTAAGGGTGCTTAAGGACAGCTCAGGAGTGTGACAGATGGGACAGTGCTGGCACTCACAACTGTGTCACCCAAGCAAGTCATCAGTTTCTCCGAGCCTCAACTCCTCTAGGGTACAGTGTGGCCCACTGTGAGCTCTGTATGTATGAGGCATGTTACACACACCAGCAGCACAACAGGCTTCCACTGGCGACATGCTGCAAACCTCAGCTCCCACCCCATATCTGTGGAGGGGAAAGGGCAGCAGCACTCCTCCCTGACCCCCAAGAGCCAAATCACTGTGAAGACTGTGCCTGCTCAGCACACACTGGGCTTAAAACAACTCTGGAGTCTGTCTCAGCCCCACGCCAATTTGCCAAGGAGCTGGGAAGAACCGAGTGCTAATTTGTCCAATTACTGATGACCAATGGTTACCTCAGATTCAGGTGAGAGAGTGGAGGAACAGATGGTTGCCTGTATTATTAGAGAAATTTGAAATTAGGCAGGTGGCAGCAGGCTTCAAGCCACATGAGAGAATTTTCACAAATGCAGGCCAAGTTTACAAAGAATAATAAGCAAATTCTTACTTGATTGTGTTCTCTGCTTTCGAAGCTGCCTCGTGGAATTGCTGTGAGGACAGTTTATACATCTCGGCTTTCTACAAAGACAAAAACAGAACTGGTTACCAAAGATTGAAACTTCCCTCTGGCTCCCTCATGGGGATGAAACCACATTATTAATCGACAGATGCTAATTTCTTGACCAGCATCAAAGCAGACTGGTGATTAATCCACTGCTTGGGTTCTAGCTACTATCCAACACTGACCACTGCTGCAGATTGCAGAAGGCTGGAGGAACTCTGCAAGATCCTCCACCTAGGAACAAACCTGCCTACCACCTGTTTTTATACATAAAGTTTTACTGGCACATAGCCATACTCATTGTTTACCTACTGTCTACAGCTGCCTGAGTGCTACAATGACAGTGGTGTAGTAGTGACAGAGAGTGCATGGTCTACAGAGACTAAAACATTCACTATTTTTAAAGAGAAACATTGCTCAGTCTTGTTCTTATCTACTCTCTGTTTTTTATAAGAGGACTCTGCTGCCCAGAGGGATGAAGGGAGGAGCTCAAAGTCACATAGCCAGAGCAGTGCCAGCCTATGTCTGAATGTTGAGTCTGGGACACACTCTGCTCCCTACCTTGTTATCTTGCTCATAGGCACAGCAACCATGGGTCTGGAGTGCTACAGGAGACCCTGAGAAAACGTGTTACACATGCATCAGCACAGCCATTTAGCAGAGAGATATCTACCAGGCTTACAGCCTGCTGCCACATTGTGACTCTGAGGAAGTCACTTAATTTCTCCGTGCCTCACAGGCCCAGATCCAGCACTCACTTTTCCCTGTGAATCCCTAGCTACTTTACTGATTCTCAGAGATGGATTCTGATGCACCTGCCCTCCACCTACCACCACACTGCAGGTGGCAGTGCTATGAGGCCCACAGACAGACACCTAAGTGCAGGGAGAAGCCACAGTTGATTTTCACAGGAGGTGGACTCTAGAACACAATGGCTTGAGACAGAAAGGTCAAATGGTCCTAGGAGGGCCAGGGTTAGAGACAGAGGTGAGACCTCCCCAGTGGACATGAGGAAGACAGCAGCGGGTGCCTTGTGGTTCCAAGATCTGATCATATTTGCCCCACAAAGCTGCCATGAAGCAATTCATGCTTTACAATTGAGCCAACAGAAGCTTCAGGGTCCCAGGTCAATTCCTTCAAGGAGCTTGAATGGCAGTGAAGGGACTGCAAAGCTACAAGGCTATGCTCTCTGGTCTGTCTGTGACAGGGATAGCCTAACTTGATTGCACCTGCACAAAAGGAGTTGCCAGTTCTTAGGCATAGGAATGAATGGTCCTTAGCTCAAAGCTATGCAAGCAGAACAGCCACATACACGTGAAGGCCAGACAGGTCTGCATGGAAGTCCGCACAGGCAGGCAGAGGACCTCATCGCACAGACCCACAGGCATGGGGGCAGGTCTGTGCTGGAACCTGCCGCCTTGGATTTCTCCACTGCCCCTGAGCCCCAGAACATGTTGACTGGGAGTTCGATGAGAGTGACGTGGGTTAGGGGGTGGAGTAGCAGCCCAAGTGAGAACACTTGGGGCACACGGCCTCTGCCTGGTGCTGGAACTCTGCTCTGGGCTGGGCCCAGCACCGCCGAGGAAGATGGGACCTATTTCTGAGCCTTTCCCTCCCCAGCTGCCTGCTGAGCGGGCTCAGGCAAGATTCCTTATCTGTCTTCTCATTCCCTCACCTCTGAACTGGGGGAAAACCCACACCACTCAGTAGTCAGCAATGCCAGTGGGGAAACGCCAATGTTTCCAGCACATAGTAGGCATGAAATAAAGGTAGATTTCCCTCCCAAACTTCCCAGGCAACACTAAATGCTCAGCACCAGGGTACTGGTGTTCTCTCCAGAGCCTCATTTCTAACCTAAGCCATTATGACTTTGTCTGGACCAGTCGGACGCTCACCAACTCTGACTGTCCTGGGTGAGGGCTAAGGACAGAGGTCTGTGAGTCAAATTGGCCTCTTTGCTCTCCATGCAGGCCTCTTGTTTGATATGCTAGTGAGATCAGACTCTCAGCCTCTGCATTCAAGGGCCATCCCCAGGATGTGGTGTGTTTTACAGGGCCACACAGTAATCTGGTGCTGGCACATGACACCTGTGGTCTCTGGGTAAGCTACTGTCTTGGTTACTTTTCTCTCTTGCTGAGACAAAACATGTGACACCCAAAATTAAGGAAGGAAAGATTTATTTAGCTCACAGTTTGTGGAGGTTTCAGTCCATAATCAGCTGGCTCCAAGGCAGGGTAGCATGGCACAGGGGCAATACTTCAAGGCAGCAGCCAGAGCAAAAGGGGGAAAATAAGCCTCCTCTCCTCCCTTCTATTGCACACAGGCCACGCCCTCTCCCTCTTCAGACGGGTGTAGCACTCACAAAATCTCCTTGTCCTCCTTTGCAAGGGTTGAGGATATTCACAAAGTAAGAATCCTGGATCCCTGCTGAGTTTCTCAGTTAAACTTCTAAACTTGTCAAGTTGCCACAATGTATCAACCATAACAGTCATGGACTTTTTTTGCACCTTGTTTTCTTAACTGCCAGAAGGGGTGACTGAGAGACAGGCTGTATCAGCTCATGGCTCCCATTTGGACCAGCACAGTCACTCTGTACCACTGACATTTCTGAAGCTAATATACGCATTACCCCAATTGCCCCTGCTGATCCCAGTCAGTGTCCTTTCCTCAGGCAACCCATGCCTTAGGCCTCTCCAGCCCAAATCTCTTTTCCTGTAGCTGTGCCACAGGAATCTTTGGTGTCACCCTTGGGCTGTCATCTGTTGATGTCAGTCTCAAGGGTCAAGGGGAAGGTTGGCATGCTGGAGAGATGCTGAGAGCCTATATTCTGGACCCTGTCTGTCCAGGAACAGCCTGGCTTGAGTGACAGTGACAAGCAATTTTGTGAGTTGCCAGCTCACAGTCAACATGTGGTCAGCGAGATTTGTCATAGGAAGTACCCACAGGCCAAGAAGTGGTTGAGATTACCCCACTGCAGCTTCCTCTATCATTTCTCAGAATGACTCAGAGTGAAATTCCCCATCAAATCCTGACCTGTCCTCACCCATTCCTCCCTCATCTAATCTGCCTGACCAAACCCACAGGGACAGATGTCATCATGACCATAATCTCCTCTGTCACAGGAAAATCTCTGGCCCTAGCTTGGGAGTACAGTGGTGGGTGGCTTCCTGTGTCCATGAACACTATTGCCCTTCTGGCTTTCCTGAAACTGTTGGAGTGCACTAAACCTCTTCTTCAGGAATAAGTCAGGCAGACTCCATGACTAGCCACCATTGAGGAGCTCCTCGGAGAACTGTCACCAGCAGCATTCATCAAATACCAGAGGATTTTGAGACAAACGCACCTACTGTGGCCTTGGGGGTGCCCATACAACACAAAATCAGGAATATAGTCATGCCAGGTGCTACAGGCACAATGAAAGGGTAGCTGGGTATAAACTATGGGTCAGGCTCTCCTTGGGAGTAGTTATCAGGACCAAGGCATTTTTTTATATTAATGTTTTTGAAAAATTAATATATACAATTTAAATAATGAGAGTAGGCAGGACAATCTCTTAGTCACTTTCCTGTCACTGAGACATAATATTCAATGCCTATAACTTAAAGGAGTTTACTTTGGCTTATGTTTTAGTTCATAGCTGGCATGGCTGGCTCTAAGGCATGATCACATGACAGAGGGGCCTGGAGGAAGAGAGTTTCTCATGGCACAGCAGACAGGAAACAGTCAAGTGAGGACCTAGGAAGGGAAATATATCTTTCCAGGCCATGTCCCCATTACCTACCTCTTGCAACCAGACTCTACCTCCCAAAGCAAATTTAGCTATAAATTCATCAGTGGACTAATCTACCCATGAGTATAGCATGCCTATGATGCAATTATCTCTCAAAAGCCCTGCCCATGATTGCACCAGGCTATGGGGGACTTCTAGATATAATCTATAACATTCTGCCCCTGCTCTCTAAAAGATGCATGTACATCTATATGAAAAATGCATTTAATTCATCTCTAAGAGTTGCCATGTCCTAGCAATTTTAGCATTGCTCAAAAGTCCAATTCTAAAGTCTATCTGACATGGCAAATTCTTAGCTGTGAGCTACTATAAAACTCAAAAAGAAAGTTAAATACTGCCAACATACACTAGCACTGGTTAAACATTCCCATTGCAAAAGGGGAAATAGGTGGATAGAAATAGGACCAAAGAAAGATCAAAACCTAACAGGGAAAATATTAAATCCTGCAGCTCTGAGTCCAGCACCACAGTGAAGATGTAAGATTCAAATGGCTTACTTGGCTCTACCCTACAATACTGCGGAAGGATACAGTTTTTATAGCTTCTCTCTTGGCCTGGCTTTGCTCCTTCCTTGTTGGCTTTCCTCAGACATTTCATAATCTTGATTTCTAAAACTTCCTAGGATCTAACTGAAATCTCAGCTTCACTCTTGCAGTTTCAAGCACTGGCCTCCCAGGGGCACACTGCCTGGCTTCCCAGGCCTTCTGAAATCTTCCTGGAAGCATCCCTGATGCTGCAACTCTTACATTCTTCATGCTTATAAAGCTAGCACTATGGGAACAATGCCATGGTCTGCTGCCACCTAGAACAGTAGCTGGGCCCTTGAATTATGACTACAAAGACATCTAAATGTCTGGATGATTGAGATACTGTGAGTTGAATCCCAAGAACAAATTCTCTATGTGGCTACGCTGGAGCCCTGGGACTCTCTTCTCAAGGTGAAACCTTTTACTTTTGCAATTTTGAGCCTGTGAACAGCAGGCCCTTGCTTGTTCTTCCAAACATCTTCAAGGCACTCCTCTTACTGCCCTATTGTAAAGTTCTTGACTTCTTTTTAATGGTAATATTTTTCAATACAAAGTTGGTCTCTGCTCCAACTTTATAGACCACTATTTCATAGGAGCTTCTTTTCTGGTGAAACTCAAAACTTAAAATCAAGAGCCATTTGTTCTTGATTCTTAATGTAGAACTGGTTTAAAATCCCCCAGTGGTACCCATGCCACAGCC